ACACACACACGGTCAGAACACACACATACATGGTCAGAACACACACATAGGCACGGTCGGAACACACACGTATGGTCAGAACACACACACACGTATGGTCAGAACACACACACATGCACGTATGGTCAGAACACACACACACGTATGGTCAGAACACACATACATGGTCAAAATACACACACACGTATGGTCAGAACACACACACACACGTATGGTCAGAACACACATACATGCACGTATGGTCAGAACACACACACACGTATGGTCAGAACACACATACATGGTCAAAATACACACACACGTATGGTCAGAACACACACACACACGTATGGTCAGAACACACATACATGGTCAGAACACACACGTATGGTCAGAACACACACACACACACACACGTATGGTCAGAACACACATACATGGTCAGAATACACACACATACATGGTCAGAACACACACGTATGGTCAGAAAACACACACACACACACACATACACACACACACACTGTAATCTTTCCAGTTCCTGTTTTAAAGCGGGTTAAATCTTTCTTTAGAGGCCAACAACAAAAATAAAAATAGTAATTCTCTTAAATGAAAATGTAAAAATTCCCCTGTTAACTTTCATGCCTTGGAGCAGAAAAAGTGCATAAAAACCACAATATTTCAAGCTCAGTACTGTGATGCTCACCTGTTCTAACCAGACACCTGCATCTCTGGGGTTGGGAGGAGGGTCCTTCAAGACTGTTGGAGACCCATTTCAGGTGACTGCCTCTAGAAACTCATCAGAATCAGAAAAGGTTTATTGCCATTGTCAGTGAACAAACAGTTCACAAACTAGGAACTTGCTTCGGTACTAATGTGCTACATATAACATGAATAATAAAATTCAAAAATAGAATACAGTAGAATAAAATATAATAAAACTAGCATAAAACATTCAGCTATAAAAAAGGCAGGTATAGGTAATATGGCCGATAACGTGACGTCATGTCAAGTACAGCAGACGAACATGGTTTTGTATTTATAAGCTGTTCACAAGTCTAACGGCAGATGGAAAGAAGCTGTTCTTGTGGCGGGAGGTTCTGGTCTGGATGGACCGTAACCTCCTGCCTGAGGGAAGCGGCTCGAAAAGTCTGTGTCCCGGGTGAGAAGGGTCAGCTGCTATCCGGCCTGCACGCCCCCGAGTTCTGGAGACTTACAGGTCCTGGAGAGATGGCAGGCTGCAGCCAATCACCTTCTCAGCAGAGCGCACAATGCGCTGCAGTCTATTTTTGTCCCTCACTGTGGCTCCAGCGTACCACACAGTGATGGAGGAGTTGAGGATGGACTCAATGATGGCCGTGTAAAACTGCACCATCATCTGGGCCGGCAGCTTGGCCTTTTTCATCTGCCGCAGAAAGTACATCCTCTGCTGGGCCTTTTTGAGCAGGGAGCTGATGGATGGCTCCCACCTAAGGTCATGTGTGATGGTGGTTCAGAGGAAGCGGAAGGAGTCCACAGTGGTGACGGGGGTGTCCGTTAGGACGAGGGGGAGAGATGGGGCTGTGACTTTCCTGAAGTCCACAATCGTCTCCACTGTCTTCTGAGCATTGAGCTCCAGATTGTTGCAACTGCACCAGTACACCAGCCGTTCCACCTCTCTCCTGTAGGCGGACTCATCACAGTCAAAGATGAGCCCAATGAGGGTGGTGTCGTCCGCAAACTTGATCAGTTTAACGGAGTCGTGGCTCGAGGTGCAGCAGTTTGTGTACAGGGAGAAGAGCAGAGGAGAAAGTACACAGCCCTGTGGGGATCCTGTGCTAATTGTCTGAATGGTGGAAACATTCTTCCCCAGCTGCACGCACTGCCTTCGGTCCGTCAGGAAGTCAGTGATCCACCTGCAGGTGGAATTGGGTACGTTGAGCATGGAGAGCTTGTCCTGGAGCAGAGCAGGGAGGATGGTGTTGAACGCAGAGCTGAAGTCCCCAAACAGGATCCTAGTGTAGGTTCCCGGGGAATCCAGGTGCTGCAGGATGATGTGGAGGGCCAGGTTGATGGCGTCGTCTACAGACCTATTAGCTCTGTATGCGAACTGCAAAGGGTCCAGGAGGGGGGAGGTGAAGGACTTGAGATGAGGGAGGACCAGGCGCTCAAAAGACTTCATGACTACAGACGTCAGCGCCACAGGCCTGTAATCATTCAGTCCAGTGACACGGGGTTTCTTTGGGACAGGGACAATGGTGGACAGCTTAAAGCAGGCTGGAACGTGGCAGGACTCCAAGGAGATGGTAAAGATGTCCGTGAAGATTGGAGACAGTTCCTCTGCTCAGTGTCTCAGGGTTGCGGGGGAGACACCGTCCGGGCCCGGGGATTTCCGTGGGTTCTGCTTACGGAAAACCCTAAGCACATCCTCTTCTGTCACTGAGAAGGCAGTGGAGGGGGAGGGGTGGTCAGTGGGGACTGTACTATGGTGTAGGTGGTGGGGGAGGGGCGGGAGGGGGAGTTGGAGCGGGAAGGGGGGTGAGGGGGAGGTGGGATGGTGGAGGGGGTAGTGGGAGGGGGAGGGTGGAGTGGGGGACCAGAGTGGCTGAAGAAACCTGTGCAGTAGTGGGTGTGGGGGATGGGTGTTGCATTTCAAACCTTGCGTAAAAGGAGTTGAGTTGTTCAGCCAGTTGTAGGTCGTCAGCAGCATGTTGGGCTCTGGGCTTGTAGTTTGTGATTTGCCTGAGCCCTCTCCAGACAGAGGCGGTGTCATTATTAGAGAACTGCTCCTTTAGTCGCTTGTTGTACCGAGATCTCGCCTTCTTCAGCTCTTTTGAGAACTGGTATTTAGCGCCCTTGTAGCTTTCTCTGTCCTTGGCTCTGTGGGCTGCTTCTTTCTCCCTCCTCAGCTGTCTCAGTTTGGGTGTGAACCAGGGCTTATCGTTGTTAAAAGTGACCCTGGTTTTTGTTGGAATAATGCTGTCCTCACAGAATTTTATGTATGACGTCACAGTATCTGTATATTCATCCAAGTTGTCTGTGGCAGATCCAAACACGTTCCAGTCTGTTGTGTCCAGACACATGCGAAGCTCCTCCACAGCCTCGCAGGTCCACTTCTTAGTAGTCCTCACTGCAGGCTTGGAGAGCTTCAGCCTCTGCCTATATGAGGGGATGAGGTGAATCATGGCGTGGTCTGAGAAGCCGAGAGCAGCTCGCTGCATGGCTTGATAAGCTCCACTAACTGTGGTGTAGCAGTGGTCAAGCGTGTTCAGCTCTCTTGTCGGGCATTTAACAAACTGTTTATACTTAGGCAATTCCTGGCTCAGATTTGCCTTGTTAAAGTCGCCGAGGATAATAACTAGAGAGTCCGAAAAGGTCTGTTCCACTCTCAGGATCTGCTCCGCGAGCGCACGTTGTGCCTCGTGCACGTCCGCGCTCGGCGGGATGTAAACAGCAGCCAGAATGAATGAAGCGAACTCACGTGGGAAGTAGAACGGCTTACAGTTTATGAAGAGGAATTCCAGGGCAGGAGAACAGTGCTGGGAAATCACATCAAGAGAATGCCACGAGCGTGCAAAGCAGTAATCAGAGCAAAGGGTGGCTTTTCTGAAGAAAATGGAAAATAAAGCATGTTTTCAGTTATTTCACCTTTTAACTCCACATCATAGGTTTGATGCCTTCAGTGAGAATCTCCCAATGTAAACGGTCATGAAAATAAAGACTTTCCTCCACTACCAATAACACCATCCACACCTACCCTACCCTAACCCTACCTACTGCATCACTAAAGTCAGTCGGTTGCAAGTTTTTAGCAACCATGACTCGATCTGGACTGGGGCGACCTAAATAAACCCTAAATAAATGCATGAGAGGAATTATTAAGAACGGAGCTCATTTTCCTCTGAACACAAGTTATGGGAGTGCTTGTCCATCGTTTGTGTTAGAGGCGCCGTTCCCTCTCGTCTTCCTTGTCGCAGGGGCGGGCCCAAGACCTGGCCGGGGGGCTCGCTGCCCTGAAGCTCCGCCCCTGAAGTGAAGAAGGAAAGTCTGCCAACTTCGTTGGCGGTTGAGTTTTCGTGAACTGAGTCAAAATTTACATCTAAACTTTAAATCACACCAAGAATCTCAAGTCTTCTTAAACCCTCCAGAAGGTATTCCTTGTTTTCCTACAAGCTTTACGGACAAAAACTAAAGGGGTAAAATATACAAAAAAGAGGGAATGGAGAAGGGGAAGAAAGGATGAAAAGAGAGAGAGAGAGTTGGTTCATTATTGTTGTTTTCTGATACACATTACAGCTAGCTTCACAAATTTGTTTCAGTTGTTAACTAAATGTTTATTGTTAAATAGATAAAGATTTATTTTTGAAATGCACTCTAATCAAGGTCGTGGTTCAGCTTATGGTTGTTTGGGTCATCATGTGGACAGTGTAATAAAGAGTGAAAAATCAACGAGGGTCTGAATATTTTCCATTCCCACTGTAATATTTCAAAACAATTCTGTAAGGATTGGCCACCTGTGTGCCATAAGTGTACAAATTTAAAATAAATAATGTAACATAACTGTTCTGGATTAAAAATAAATGTAAAATTTAAGTGCCTGAAAAACGTAGATAATTTTCACATGTGATCAATTACTTTCATATGTTTTGCTCATAATTTATTAACTGTAGGCCTGTTGGATTTTTACATAGCAAATTATGATTACAGCATCTATTTAGCCTCTGAATTTTTAAATTAGCCCTAATATCACGTTTATTTTTCTTTGCCAAACTACAGTCATTTTGCCCAACCTAATGCCATACCCACCCATACACAGAAATAAAAATTTAAATAAAGTAAATCTCACTCAAGACTTTTAAAAGTTGGCAGCCCTGTAATAATTACTTGTCTCAAAAGATGAAGCTGTTTGACGATCAACTGAAAAAAAAACTCCACAACAGAACTGAAATTAAGGGATTTTACAAATTTTTCTAAAAGAAAATGTGAATAAGCGGAATAAGCCAAAAGGATCTGTTTAGTGTACCCGTTACTCCCTGACGCGAGAGGGCGCTGTGGCACTCGGGAGGAACCCTTTATGAAGTCGAAGGGCGGAGGCGGAGCTCCAGTTTGTCGTACGTGTGCTTCTTGGCTGCATTAAATTAGAAGCATAGCAGTTTAAGTCGAAACCATGGTGTTGCTCGAAAATGACTCGGTAAGAACATGAACTACCCTCTTTTAAAGTCTGACTTTTATTGACGGGAATGACCTGCTAAATGTACATCTATTCAGTTTTATCACTTTAAGCCTGAACATGGAGAAGCTAGTTTCATTAGCTGTCTTGCTAACGACTGATTATAGCTATGATGGGTTAACTAGTCTTAAAGCCTTAAAAAGCTTCCACAATGACGCTAAATGTTTTCTTTTGGGGGTCAAGTGAAACATTTGCTGTGTTGTGCCTCACATAAAATTAAAATTACGTTCAATCTTAGCAGTACAACACATTTGTTAACGTTAAGGCTGTTAATTATGTGTTTTTTCTTTTGTAGGCGAAGATTTCTTTCAAAATTATTCACATTTGAGCCACGAGGGAATTATCTATCGGCTTTACACATTATTTGACAGAGACATACATTTCACGAGTATTGTGCAAATTTAAGGGCAGAAATGTACTTGAATATTACCAATTTGATTATTAAAAGTACACTTAACACGATTTTTGTCTGGTATAGGCCTCTGTTCGTGCATTAAGATCAACAAAATCTAAGATTTTTACATTTTCTCACGTGTGTGTGTGTTTTCTACAAATGAGTGTTGGAATGTATGTAGTTTTAAGACCATTTGTTTAAATTTGATCAAATGAACATCCTTTCTAATGTTATTTAGGGTAGAAATGTTGTAACACTTGACTGATAACCTGTTCTCCCTGCTGTCCAGTTTCTCACAGAGCTCACTCGACTCTTCCAGAAGTGCAGAACGTCAGGCAGTGTTGTCATCACGCTAAAGAAGTGTAAGTATTAGAATGTGATTTGAATATTCTGACTAATCTCTACCCAACTGTAATGGGATTACTTTTATTCATCCAGACGATGGTAGAACCAAACCAGTCCCCAGAAAGGGCCATCCAGAGTCATTCGAACCTGCTGATAACAAGTGTCTCCTCAGAGCATCTGATGGGAAGAAGAAAATTAGCACAGTGGTAAGAGTATTGATGTGTTCATAGTTGTTGTAGTTTTTGTGGGACGTATTAACGTCAGATTTTCAATTTCAGGTCAGCACCAAAGAAGTAATCAAGTTTCAAATGGTACATTGATTTAATCATTTCGTCTTTGAATTTATATTATTAGCGTGTCTTGTAACTGTAATCTCTTCATTTCCAGGCATATTCCAACCTCCTTAGAGCTCACATTGATGGGCTAAAGAAAAAAGATAAAAAAAGCAAAAGCAAAAAAACCAAAGCCACTCAGTGATCCACAGACTCTTGTGAAAACCGTGGAAGCTGTCCCACACAACCGGAGGGAATATGGGAAGGCATCAGCTGATCTGCAGCCCCGCTCAGCTCTCCTTTGTTCATCCGAGGCCTCAGGACCATCGTGTTGATATCTTACCATCGTTTCCATGGTGATGCTTCATCCCTGGCTTCTGCGTGCCATCGTTGATTAGGAACTGTAAATCGAGGATTTAATTTTTGTCGTTGCTGTCCAGAACGAATCATGCCAACTTCATTGAATCTCCAGTGTTTTGTGTTCAGAACAGCTGTGCTGCCTCTGGAGCCGGATCTAAGAAGCCTGTTCTTTCTGATGGTTGATCCTTATTTATGACAGGTTGGCATATTTTGTTTTTTTTGTTTGTTTGGTTTTTTTTTGTTTATTTTTTTTACATATTGATTATTCATCAACAGATTTAAACCAGACTGAACTGGCCCCTTGTTTTGGTCCAAAATGACTTTATTTCACTTTACTTTGTTTACCTTTCCAGAACAGTGACTAATATTTTGCCCCAAGCTCAGACTAGTCCATTAAATGTTAATTCTGTTTTCATTTCTCTAATGACTTGATTAAATTAGGACAAAAAATGGTAAGATTCAGAGGAATGTTTGAGCTATAAATGCAGTGTGTAGTGAGTGTTTGTTCTTTCGTGCCCCTGAGCCCCACTTTCATTTCAGAGGACTGCAGCATAACTTAAGTTCACAAATAAAGTGCTTTTGTTTAAATTCACGTGATCTAATGTGATAAAACAAATAAACAAACATAAAAAACACACCAATAAACTACATATACATCTGAATATGAGAACAGTCTGTTCTTTAGAGACGGTTGATTTCATAGCGCCGTGC